CCCAGTCAACTCCCTGCAGACAAGCTCTTCAGAAGTATTTAAAAACCCGATTCCCTGGTGTTCCAGGGAGTTTCCTCAAGCAATCTGATGCATGCGAGAGGCAAATTTCATACTCTGTATTTACTATTTAATACAAATTTATTCCAGAGTTTCTCTTTATAGAGTCTTTGCTTATACTCTGAACCCTAAGTTCAAACAACCTGTTTTTTGGCATAAATGAATTAATATCATTGTATACAACCTATTTCAGTTAATAGAATTATATGTCAGATATTGACTCTTGCATCCTGCAATAAAAGGGAAACATAGCAGGAATTTTTTAAGAGGTAGGAATTAGTGCTAAGTTCTGTGTGCAATAAATACCAGTTTTAAATTACGCGCTGTAGACACAAGGCAGCACTAACACAGAGTCATTAATCTATTCTGTAGCTTCCAGATAAACTTACCCCAACGATTTCAGGTAGGCCTTCAGCTTTACTGATGGCAAAAAATACAAGAAATAGATAAAAGAAAATGACGAATATTTCACGTTTATCTTCTGAAGATTTATTCAAATAAAGTCAAACAACCAAATCAGGGGACAACTGCATTGCCAGCACAGTTTTGCATTTAGTATTTCTGGAAAAAGATCTTAAATTTAAGTGAATAAAACCAGTATTTTTTTAAGGTTTTATCAGAAAGTAAGAACAGCCTAGCACATAGAATTTTCAAGTCAGGCTGTTTTTCTCTGAAGGTTTTCTATTCATCAGAGGCAAAAATAATCTGTCCATGGTTTTAAAAGTTTTAGTGATTCCCTCTCTCTTCCAAAATAACCTGGATGAGCTGAAAATTAGGAGAGAAACATGGTAATGTTTTGACTGTAGGGACTGCAAATCACCGTTTCTCCCTTAGCTGAATACAAGTCTGTACTCTCTGTTTTTTTTCTGAACCCAGGTATTTTGCAGATACCCAACCTTATTTTACAGCAATTAACCCAGCAAGAGGAGATATGCATTGGGTTTCCTCATAGGGTGGCAAAGGCCTGATAGGAAGCCAGGTCTGCTTTTTAATACATCGTTCACACTTTGTATGTCTGCCACAGGCCCTTCTATTATTTTTCAAAACAAATAGTCTCAGCCTGACTCCCCCCACCAGCGGAGACTGGTTTTTCATGGTGAAATCCTGGTTTTCTTAAAATCAGCAGAAGTTTTGCCACAGAATTTAAGCTGGGTCAAATTTTACTCTCATTTTTTGATCATACTAGTTAATGATTTCACTTGATCTCTGAATCCTGGATCATGTAGACCACTCAGATGAACACTCATCGTTCATTTAAGTGTAGTTAGCTATGTCCTTTTTTTTCCCTCCCTTTTTAGCAAAGCAAAGTGTTCGATTTGCTCTCTGCCAACAGAGCCTCAAACAGCATAACCTCAGTCTGTCTGCGCCCTGATTTGCAGTGTATTGAATGTTACGGAGGTGTGGAATTGGATTAAAAGCTACAGCGTGGTGCTCTGCAGATAAATCCACTGCAGGTGTGCAGTTTAATAGGATTTTAATTTGGTAACAAGTGAACAAAGAGAGGAAGCCCAGAATGGGATTTTCTAGATGAAAAAATGCTGTTCGTGCTGAGAGAAAGCAACTGCAAGCTCTGTGATAAGAAATAAAGGTGGGGCCAATGCTCTCTGAGCTGCACTTTCATAGATTGCGGCTCACTCAGAGCATCTTCGTTCCTGTGACCGGTTTCAACAATTCTTGGTTCAGACTCCATGCATTTGGCTACAGAGGATTTCCTCTGCCACACTCGCCGTTAAGCCAGATTGTTTAGATCTTGTATTCTCTTACTCCCCGCCCTCTACATTTTTTCATATAAAAATAATGTTTTCCTCAGGAGAGGCCACCAACTTGGAATGTATTCCGTCTTCAAGATTATGAACAATTATTTTCATGCTTCGAATAATAAAAATAAAGATTCAGAAATGTGCTGCGCTGTTCAGAATCAATGGAAAAAACACGGTCTCTCTGCCAAGGGGTGTGATTTATATTCAGCATGAACTAGGACTAGAGGACCAAAAACAGATGGGAAAGGGAAAGGAAGAATGAAGGTGACAACTTCGTGAAAGATCACGAAGGGATCTGCTGAGCCACAGACACGTGGCTGATAGGCTGCTGATATCAGGGCAAGGCTGGGAGATTCTTTTCTGATTTCTGTTACCAGTCCTCCTTCTCATTTTTTCCAGAGTTTCACAGCAAAACTGAGTTTTTAGCACTAATTTCAATGAGATGAGGGTGGAGGTGCGATGAACAGATTTTTTTTTTCCCAAGTGTACAAGCTGTAGAGAAAGGCATAGAAATGCCTTGTGGGACAAGATGAAAAAGATACGGAGGTTGTTGTTGTTGGCAGAGGACGGTGTGGAGGATGGGCACTGACGAAAGACACTGGGTTGCAGAGAACTGCAGAGGCTGCATGAGGTAAAGGAGTTAAAGGAAAAATGATGAAATACGCCCGTGATGCGCGGAGCTATATGTCAGGCAGCAGAAATGCGGTCCAGGAAACGGCAGCACAGCCGGTGGATGCCGCTAAGGTTGCTGAGGGTTTGGATAACCCCCCAGAACAGGTTGTGGCCGAAGAAGGGTAAGTCAAGAGCAGGGACAGATGGTTGCTTGGGAGTACGATGATGATTTTTGGTGATGAAAAGTGTCAGAACACAAATCCTCATGCCATGGGAATCTATTCAGAAGGTCTGCAGGGATGGCAATACAAAGAAAGTGGTGGGTGATGGAGATGCTTTTGGCAGCTGTGTTTTTCAGCAGCCTGTGGAATTTGTATTGGCACCCAAAAAGAAGGAGCCTGCAGTGGTTGAGGAGGGAGCTACCACCCGTTTGAAGGACACAAGTAGGCAGAAGTGCTCACTCATTCTATCGCGTCTCCTGAAACCCAGTCGAGCTGCAGGTTCAAGTTTTTCAGCTCCTTCACAAACTGCAAACACTTGAACCACAGCGTCAGCAAGCTCTTACTAGGCTCTCTTCTCATCACAACGTTATCAGCATCTTGACGTGGACTGGTAGAATCTGTTAGCTCTTGGGATCTTTCATCTAAGCTCTTTCGATGCGCTCCCAATCCTTCACTTTCTCCTTCCCTCCTCCATACCTTCTCTCAAGTCGTCCTACTCTCTATTTCATGTTTTATACCCATCTTGTCTGACGCTCCTTGTCCCTCATGCTGATCAGCCTTGCTCTGTTATTGGGATCATGTATGAAGTATGCAAAACTGATACACACAATGATAGGCATATCACTTACACAAACAAAATGAAGCAATGGGGCTGGGGAAGGGCCTGGAGCACACACCCTGTGAAGAGCGGGTGAGGGAAGTGGGGTTGTTCACCCTAGAGAGTGACAAGGTCTCAGGGGAGGCCTTGTCACTCTCTATCTACAGCTACCTGAAAGGAGGCTGTAGAGAGGTGGGTGTTGGTCTCTTCTCCACAGTGACAAGGGATAGGACAAGAGGAAACAACCTAAAGTTCTGCCAGGGGAGGTTTAGACTGGGTATTAGAAAAGACTTCTTCACCAGAAGGGTTGTCAGGCACTGGAACCGGCTGCCCAGGGGTGCGGTGGAGTCACCATCCCTGGAGGGATTTAAGAGACTTGTAGATGTGGTGCTTAGGGACATGGTTTAGTGGTGGCCTTGGCAGTGCTGGGTTAATGGTTGGGCTTGGTGATCTTAAAGGTCTTTTCCAACTCAAACAATTCTACAGTTCTATGATTCTACAAAAATTCTGGACCAAACTCTCGTCTGCTCTCACTCACCTAAGAGCCTTGCAGTGGTCAGAGTGGCCCATATAAAAGCCCGTACGGGCAGCACAGCAAAGGAACAAAGAAAGCAGGGCAGATGCTGCTTAAGCTTTCTATTGTTTTATCTCCCAGATTTCTGACCATCAGTGGTTTAGAGATTCTTTGCTTGTAGCCTGCACCAAGCTCAGTTTGTTTTTTGACGTTGAAGTGGTATGGCAGTATGGGTCATGATATTACATTTGAAAAAATAACAAAAGCTGTCAAACATGCCCATCACATGCATAAATCATTCTTGTTTGTCCCTTTTGTGTCTTTCTCCCCCCCAGTTTTCATTGCTGAGCTAGTTTTTAGAGTATCTTATATTGAAAAACAAGGGTCCACCAAGGGTCTTAATAACAAATAAAGTTGTATTTAAAACACTCCATTTCCAGTCCTGGTCCTCCTTTATGGAAGCTGAATACATCTTGGGAGGAAAATAACTATAGCAGAAAACAGCTGGATGTCTACTTCATCACTTGTATTAAGCACAGAGGCTTGATCCATGTTCCCATATGTCCTTATATTTAGCCTTGTATCCTAGACAGACTTACAGTCTGTTTTGTTTTCTACCTGTATGTCATCCCTTATGGTTGTAAGTTTGAACCAGCAGACTGACTGCAAGAAAGTCTGTTGGAGCAGAAAGTTCTCAAGGATTTCATCCTTCTGCATAGTTTGATGAAGCTAAGAGCTGGGCAGAGGACAGAGGGCTCTCCGTGCTTCCAACAGTGAGAAAAGACCACGTCATGTGCTCTCTCTTCTGATCAATAAATACATGCAGTCTGCTTGGTCAGGTAGCCCACAAGCTGTTCCCAATCCAGCAGAACGGCACGGATCTTGCTTGGACAACACTTGGGGAATCTAAAGGAGCACTGAAGGTCTGCTGGAAACCCAGGGGAACTGCAGTGGTGAGGAGGTACGTGGTGTGGAGGTGATGACCCCTTGACAGGATGGTGGGATGAGTGGGGAATGTGGAGGATGGTTTCTGGCTTGAGGTTTTGACACTGGACACAGCTCCATGCAAACCTAGATTTTATTAGTTCTACTTTACACACATACCCCCTCCCCCCAGATAAAATCCACACCCCTCCCAATTTATCCAATTTATGTCCTTTTTTTTCCTTCTTTGTAATTTTCTTGAAAGTTAATGTTTCATTTCACCTTGCTGTCTGTGGCTGTGTCCACCGAACAACTCAAAACTCTGGAAAAATGTTGCTTAATCCAAAGTTATTCTGGTTCTGCATCAGAGTTGTGAGAGTTGTCTGTGGAGAATCGGCTTGAGGTTGCTTCATGGCAAAACAGCCCCAGAGTTGGCTGGGCTCATAAACCCACAGAACAGGGACCTTGTTTTCCTTTGCGACATCGAAACTTTCATCTCCCTCCTCTATATAGGACAGGAAGACATGAGCCACAAAATCCATGAGTAGCAAATTAAACAAATACCAGGATCCTAGGTTTAAAGAAAAACAAAAGTGATGTTAACAACCTCTTAATTTGCTTATAATCATAAACTGTTCTTTTTTGAAATGTTTCATTATGGTAATAGTGGGCTAGACCAAGTAACAGCCTAGCACTCATCAAATAGTACTTACAAAATTATCTACTTCCAAAGACCACAGCAAAATAAGCACCAACTGCAGATTTTAAACAATCAAAAGCCTTTCCTCCTTATTTTAGCTCGAGAAGAAAGTATACGTGTGTTTATTTGCTTTCTTATTCAAGTTCTTCCCCCAAATTCACTGTTACTACAAGGTTTATCCACAACTACCTATCATCCTCATTCTCCCACTGGACAGATAAATCAGCCTCTTCCCAAGCAAACCCTCCTGCAGATGTTTGTGTGCCCTGTATGTATGACATGAAGTGGCCTACTAGGCTATTTTGCCAGCTAGGGGCAAAACTGCTAAAAACCAAGAGAAAGACTTATGGAGGCCATTGACTTATGAATAACTCCTTTGGTTGAAAACCCTTGCAGTAAAGAGGACGTCTTCTTCTGTGCCATAAATCTGCACAGGGAGTCACCAAGTAATTCATAACCTCTGCATCCCACAAATATGTTTACATGGACATTAACAGGGAGATACTATAATTTACACGAACTACCAAGGTTTGCAGAGCTTTAACAATGAAAACGTACTGCCTCTTTTGATGTTGTATGTGTCTGGGAAGCTGCTGCTTCTCCTGCTTGTCCTTTTGCGTGTCTTTGAATTATAGCAAAGTGAGTGAAAGGGCTTGTTTATCTGTGAGACAAGGAGAGGGACTTTTATACTTGGGGTTCACACACTGGTGTTTTCAGTACATTCAAGAAGGGTGAGTGTGAAACAAAAGCTATCGCTCCAGTTCTCCCTTGGAGGAATACAGAGGGACACAGTTTTGAAGAGGGAGTAGGTTGAAGCACCTTGCTTATGGAAGAGGAATGCGTAAACTGCTCAAAACCCCTCATTTTTGAGATCGGGTGTTAGACGGTTTGTGCTGAAAACTGGCCCAGGACTGTTTATTTTGCGGAGGAATCAATGGCATCTGGTGAATTATCTGTGTGGACCCAAGGCTGAGATGTGTGTTGTGTAAGTCAGTGGTGAGGATGCTGTGGCAATCCTGGTGGAGCTGAGGCTGTTTGAATGCAAGTCTGCAAGCATCTCCTTTTTGAACGGAGGTTATACTAAGAACTGTTAGACAGCTACAGGGGTCTTTCTTCCCTGATAGAGAAACCCAAACAGAGATACTTCAGGGATGAGGACCCTGGAGGCATTTTGCAGATGTGAAGTTCTGTGGCAGAGGTAGGGGGGTACACACATCCCTCCCCAGCCGGTGTGGCTCAGCCATACATCCCTGAATGCACTGGGAGGGAGACCATTAAGGAGATGGAGGTATCCCTGCTGATGTGAGGCTCTGTGATGGAGACATGTAGAGGCACATTTGATGGAGAGGAGGTGGAGCTCAAAGCGCTGTAGAGGTCCCATTAGCCCTCCCTGCTGCAGCAGACTTGTTCCTTGCTGCCTTACAGGCGAGTAACTGCAAGGCTCCCGTGATCAGAGTTGGGCATCACTCACATGGAAGCTGGGCTGGAAAAGCGTAAAAGTCAATCCTAAATTCAGAGGTGTGAGTATGCCAGCATATTATGTGTGCCGGATGTGCCCAGCTCCAAGGCAAGAGCCCCAGGCAGAAGTTAAGTTTGAGTTTGGTTACTGGT